TGTATATATTATGGGGGGAGCAGTGTATATAATATGGGGGGCATGACTTTATAATATAGGGGGGACAGTGTATTTAATATTGGGGGCATGACTTTATAATATTATTATTGTTATTATGATATTTATAGAGCGCCGTCAATTTCCGTAGCGCTTTACAATGGGTGGACGAACAGACATGTAGTTGTAACCAGACAAGTTGGACACACAGGAACAGAGGGGTTGAGGGCCCTGCTCAATGAGCTTACATGCTAGAGGGGTATGGGGGTACAGTGTATATAATATGGGGGCATGACTTTATAATATGGGGGGCTGGGGATGTTACTATAATATAGGGAGACAGTGTATACAATATGGGGGGACACTGTTTATAATATGGGGTAAGACAATGTATATAATATGGGGGGACAGTGAATATAATATGGGGGACATGACTTTATAATATGGGGGGACAGTGTATATAATATGGGTTTTGACAGTGTTTATAATATGGGGGCATTCTATATAATATGGGGGATGGTGTATATAATATAGGGGGCACTGTATATAATATGGGGGGGTCAGTGTATATAATATGAGGGGATAATGTATATAATATAGGGGGCACTATATAATATGGGGTGTACAGTGGGGGGTACACTGTATATAATATGGGGGACGGGGATGTCGCTATAATATAGGGAGACAGTGTATATAATATGGGGGGCTAGAGGTGTCACTATAATATAGGAGGACAGTGTATATAATATGGGGGGGCTAGGGTTCACTATAATATAGGGGGACAGTGTATATAATATGGGGGATAGTGGGTGTCACTTTAATATAGGGGGATAGTGTGTATATAATATGGGGTCTGGGGAAGTCACTAAAATATTGGGAGACAGTGTATATAATATGGGGGGGCTGAGGGTGTCACGATAATATAGAGGTACAGTGTATATAATATAGGGGGACAGTGTATATAATATGGGAGGTGTCATTATAATATAGGGGGACAGTGTATATAATATGAAGGGTGTCACTATAATATAGGGGGACAGTGTATATAATATGGGAGGCAGGAGGGGATCGGTAGCTTCCAGCGTGTGCTGACAGAACTAAAATATGCACAGAATTGACAACATACAAGGCAGAACAGATTTCTGGACTGCCAATGTCACGTGTGCAACTAGCCCATTGCACACAGTTACAAATATCTAATGGCTGTCATACTGACGTGATATTTACCACGAAGGGTTAAATACACCTCTAGTGGCAGTCACACTGACGCGATATTTACTACGAAGGGTTAAATACACCTCTAGTGGCGGTCACACTGACGCGATATTTACTACGAAGGGTTAAATACACCTCTAGTGGCGGTCATACTGCTGTGATATTTACCACAAAGGGTTAAATACACCTCTAGTGGCAGTCATACTGACGCGATATTTACTACGAAGGGTTAAATACACCTCTAGTGGCGGTCACACTGACGTGATATTTACTACGAAGGGTTAAATACACCTCTAGTGGCGGTCATACTGACGTGATATTTACTACGAAGGGTTAAATACACCTCTAGTGGCGGTCATACTGACATTATATTTACTACGAAGGGTTAAATACACCTCTAGTGGCGGTCATACTGACGTGATATTTACTACGAAGGGTTAAATACACCTCTAGTGGCGGTCATACTGACGTGATATTTACCACGAAGGGTTAAATACACCTCTAGTGGTGGTCATACTGACGTTATATTTACTACGAAGGGTTAAATACACCTCTAGTGGCGGTCACACTGACGCGATATTTACTACGAAGGGTTAAATACACCTCTAGTGGCGGTCATACTGACGTGATATTTACCAGGATGTGCAGTGTTTCAAGCTACCACATTGACCACTTTTGGTGGAACTGAAGTGTTCATGGTGTTTTGAGTAACCCTTTAACGACATCCGTCTTGTAGCATACCAAGGACCACACGGCCACCCTGCCCAGACTAAAACATAGAAACAGCTTCAACCATTTTTGTTTCTTCTAATTGGAGGCCCAAGAAAAAAAAAGGAAAACCCAGCGATCCCAGCTCGTCTCAGTAGGAGCTCTGAGGTTACATTTATTCCAACACTCTCCAATATAAAATGAAATTGCTGTGGATAATTATCATCTGCTGAGTGATCCATATGAATTCTGTAGGTTAACGTTTGAAGGGGCTGCCCAGGAGTGTATAGAATTCACGTACCTCCTGTGTGATCTCGGTTAATAGTGATCAAATTAAAGGACCACTATAGTGCCAGGAAATTAAACTCATTATAGGGTCATTAGGTCCCCCCCACCCTCAGGGTCCCACTCCCGCTGGGCTGAAGGGGTTAAAACCCGTCAGTGAGACAGCCACTAGAGGCTGGATTAACCCTCAGTGAAACATAGCAATTTCTGTTAAACTGCTCTGTTTTCACCTGCAGGGTTACAACTAGAGGGACCTGGCACCCAGACCACTTCATTTAATACAGATAGAGATCATGTTTGTACATGGGCCTTCATCGTTTCCAAGCACTGCCAAGAATCCTTTGTACAAAGGCTTGCAATCAACCACACACCATGGATTACTGACTCTGGTATACACTGCTGCAAATGTCAGCTTAAGGACTGGGCTCTCTTTTATTCAGAAATTCTATTGTCTATATAATATTAAATATATATATTCTCACCAATGTTTGCTGCCTATGCACTGGATTTGGCGGTGCTGGAGTGAGTGGCGCCAAGACCAGTAATAGTTGAAACCTAATTAATGTTAAAAGGCAGTTCCTTTGGGATGTGTGGTTGATTAATAAATTGTTTTCCTTCCTGCAGCATTTAAATTCTCCATTCTGCAGGGCTGCGTTTTCTATATTGCCCAATAGCGTAAACGGGTAAATATGGCCACAAAATGTGTAGCATAAGGTTTCTACATACTGAAGGGTGTTTCTTAGTGCTGCCTGTAAAGCGATGGTGCGTGTCAGGGCCTTGAATACTGTGAGCTATCCTCTTCATACATAACGCCTGGTGTTCACTCATAGTACAATGTAATTGCATTTAAACATGCGCTCACATTGCCCTCTCGATGCAGCATGGCTGAGTCCCACTGTTGTGTGATCGAGAGAACTATGAGCAGAATGAATGTGTGTTCAATAAATCATTAGGGATCTGATAATAAACACATTTCTGCTCACATGAAAGATGGGGGTGAGGCCTTTTCCCTCGATCACACACCTTTATCTGTTGAAGTAATACAAGGTTATTAGGTAAAATTAAAATTGTTCGGAATTCAAAGTGAATTTAAAATTTTCACCCAAAATAGCCGAACTGGAAGGGTAAATTACTTATTTCCAATTGAGCTAGTCTTGCCTTAGATTTCAGAATTTCTTTGAGCTGAAAATCCTAATTTCAGTAAATCACACTGCCCCTGTTCTCAGTTTTTTACATTATTTTCAGCTAACTGTTCTCCCCACCCCTGTGTTGCAAAATTCAGGCTAACTTTTAGGCTGAATACATACATTAAGTTGGAGAGTGTTTGCAGTTTTGATTTCCGTTTGTTCGGTGTTTAGTCACCTAAGCATTTTACATGGTTAATTGGAAAACCGAATTGTCAGGAGTTTGTACGTTTTAGGCCAATTAGGAACAATTCTCCCAAATCCATTGTGTTCTGTGATAAATTCCACAAAATTCACTGTTTGTTTAATAAACTGTGCCTATTGGTGAATTGTAACATTTAGGCCAAAATACAATACTGGAGTTGCCCCAAATCAGCTACTGTGGCCTATGGTTTGCCGTCTGTTTTTCAGTTCACTCCAATTTCCTGTTAGGGGGATAAATATCCTAGTTATAACCCTAACCAAGTCTAGATTCAAACAATAAACTGAAAACCAAATCTCTAAAATGGAGGAAACATCCCAAGTACCATAACCACTGTACCCTGCTTCAATGGTTATGGTACCAGGAGTGTCCTGGCACACTGTCCCACTGACATTTGGGACATATTTTCCTTATTTAAGATGCTGATCAAATTAAAAGTGATGCTTTGCAATATGTAGCATTCACATGCTGCAGGAATGGGCTCATTAAAGGAATAATATAGGAATACAAACTCCTGTCCTTAGTTATATACAGGTCCCCCTCCCCATTTTCCCATAAAATTAACACAATACAGATTTTACCAGCACAAATATTCCCTCAGCAAATTCCCTTGGCGCTTATCACATCTCCGCCTCCCGCAGCGTCATCAAAGAGGCATGGCTTACTTCATTACACGCATATCCAAAGCATCTCATAGGAAAATATTAAATTCAATGCTTTCCTACGAGCTGCCACGTTTTACCCAGTCAGCGGAGCAGAAGCGCCTCAGTATTACCGCCACTTGAGGTGTATTTAACCCTTCGTGGTAAATATCACGTCAGTATGACAGCCATTAGAGGTGTATTTAACCCTTTGCGGTAAATATCGCGTCAGTATGACCGCCACTAGAGGTGTATTTAACCCTTCGTGGTAAATATCACATCAGTCAGTATGACAGCCATTAGAGGTGTATTTAACCCTTTGCAGTAAATATCGCGTCAGTATGACCGCCACTAGAGGTGTATTTAACCCTTCGTGGTAAATATCACGTCAGTATGACAGCCATTAGAGGTGTATTTAACCCTTTGCAGTAAATATCGCGTCAGTATGACCGCCACTAGAGGTGTATTTAACCCTTTGTGGTAAATATTGCATCAGTATGACAGCCACTGGAAGTGTATTTAACCCTTTGTGGTAAATATTATGTCAGTATGACCGCCACTGGAGGTGTATTTAACCCTCTGTGGTAAATATCACGTCTGTA